TTATATTTAATTTTAAAATTATGAAATATATTATATATGTATGAATTTTATTTATTTTTTAGTTTCAAAATGTTTATAATTATGAAAATTTTAAGATTAAATTGGCATCATTATTATGTTAGTTTTACTAATTTTTAATAGTATTATTATTTATTTCGTCATCCGGTTCGACCCTAATTCGACCGATCGAACCGTGAACCTCTCCTTCTTCTGGTTCGTTGTCCATTCCGATTTTCAAAACCTTGCAGATTTTCATAAATCTCTTAGTGTAAAGATCTTTAAAATTTGCATACTAAGTTAAAAAGCTAAACATAACTTTTCTTTAGTTTGAGAAAGATAATAGCTATTGTCAAAAACATTTTTGTCATGACAGCTATTTAACTTCTGTCAACCTTGTCAAGTAGGTTTGCAATATTTAATAGGGTCTACTACCTCTGGTGGCAATGCTCGGTGCATGGAAATGAGGAGGAGCATACGGCATAATTAATCTCCCTGCGAGACTATCAGTAACCAACACCATAGGAGCAAGGCCACACAGTTATTTTCTCCCCATTTAAGGAGTCGCGCCGCATGAGAGAGGAATCGAATATGGATTAGCGGGTTCCCAATTAATCATGCTCGCCCACTAACTCGGTTAAGTTGGTGGGGTATCAAAGCAAAATCTAATATCCTATTAGATATTGAACGTTTCCTAAATGAGAAAATAATAGTTGCTGACAAAGTTATTGTGGAAATGATGCTACTGCAAGCACATGAGCTGGGAAAATAGCTTTGAATTATTACTTTGAAAGTTGGTTAGCACAGGTTTTTCTTAATCAGCAATATCCACAACACCTTTTAACTAATTTATCTTAATCAACAATGCTAAACTATGTTTATGCACAACTGCAACTACTCCAACAACATTTAGTGTGAGTATTATAAACTTTTTTATTAAAAAAAAGGATAACTTCTTTCTTTCAAATACTATTAAAATGTTTAGAAAAAACAAAAATAATTGTAGGAAAATATATCACATTTAAAAGATGTTCAAGAAAAATACATTAAATAAAGCTACAGATTCATCCATTTCATTGAAATGTATTAGTAGACAACAAAATGTAAATCATTCCATTATATTGATTACATTCAAAAGTTTCATATATTGCTAGCCACGTCATCCATATAAAAATTTGAAGATCCAACAAAATGTAGATCCTTTCGTTCTCTTGATTACACTTTTTTTCTTCTAGAGCTGTAAACCTATATAAAAGAAAGAAAGAAAGAAATTTGGTTAGATTCACATAGCAAAATGAAAAGTAAACTATGAAGAAAAAAATATAAATGAACATACTAAAAGTTTTGTATTGGAAGATCCTTGAGTGAGAATTTCTAAAGCAGGTTCAAATTGTTATTGGCTCTCCAATTGGTCTAAGGACTAGTTTAGAAAACACCATTTTGAAATGAAAATTATAATCTATGTTAACAAAATTGATGGGATGACATGACTCAACATCTCAATCAATGGTTGAACAACATTCTATACATCATCATGTCCCTTCTCAATATGTGTTTTCTTGTCACAAGTTATGATGTTGTGTCTACGTTGTCTATATTTAAGGCAATAAAGCTTCACATTGGCTCTCCCTAACTTTTTTGGGATTTAATGTAATTTTTCTTATCGACAATTCTTCTTCGCATCTTTGGTGGTCTACTTAAAGAAGTATCTACAACAATGTATATTCAGAAGAGAATGGCAAGAAGAAGTGTCGAGTATTCAATAACATACACAAACTAGTACATGATTGAATATGTTTTTATACATGATAAAGTTACATAATTAGTTTCTAGTAAATCGTTAACTACAGAGAAAGTGCATTTGGCTTGCAACTACATGAGTGGTGCTGTAGTGGACTCAACTGTCAGAGTAGTGGATGAGTTGGCAAGATTCCGTATTG